TCAAGTTTTGTGCAAAAACGCATGATCGCTCCGGCTCGCCTGGTGCGTTCCAGCCTAGGTTTTTTCTAGCTGCTGCTTGCTAGAAATTTGATATTAATCAAAAACTTCGTGAGGCACAGGAAATTTTTAGCTGCTGCCGTTGTGTTAAAGCGCTAAGCACGGCTCAGAAATTGAAAAATTGAATGTTCGAAGAATCGGACGTCTCGAATTCAAAGTGTGATTTTATTTTATTGGAGAAAAAGTCTTTCTGGTAATTTTATGCTCTCAACAGTAAGCGCTGATTAACTGCCTTCAAAATTTGACATTGGCCTTCCCTACCAAATTCATTCCCGCCCAAGTTTTTCTCTCAGAATAACATGATGACTATTTTCGTACCCCTGCCGCTGCAATCCCTTCCACAAATAAATAGATTTCAGAACGTAAGTGTAAGTGTCTGAATAAAAAAATAGATAGTGCTGTGGTTAAACAGAAAACTGCACTTTTGCAAAAAATCTGATATGGTGTTTTTAAATCGTACAGTTCCGGCGTAGTGAATAATGGCGAAATGAGCTTCAGACTGTTTGCCTTTTGGTGGCCGCGGTTTTTGGTAATTAGGATGCTTGCCCAAGTGTTGATCATTTAGCTTCTGTACATATGTCATATCGGTTGCCTTTGGTACGATACATTCTTCATCCAGCATGGAAATGATCCCGAGCGGCTGAAATTTGCGTAAAGCGTGTTTGACATTCTTAACTGTGCTTTCTATCTTAACTGCTCTTATGAAACTCAGCCTGGCATAGCGTGTGGGGTGAAAAGTAGCGAAGGACTGAGTGCTGTGAAGTTCCTGCCCTATCAGGGCAACAAATGAGGGCTTGATTGACGAATTTCGACTTTTCAAGAACCTGAAGTATATCACAAAAATTCATTCTGGATAAGTCAAAAAAGCTGTTTAATTGGGAGTAGAGAAGTGACCTTTTCAATCAGCTCGATGCAGGCTTGTAAGTCAAGGCCGAAATCAATGAATGTCCACGCGATTCCTTCACGCTTATATTCCTCCTGTTCCAAAACAAACATGTGGTGATTGAAAAACTGCTGCAGTCGCTCGTTTACAAAGTTGATCCATAATTGTTCAAACGAATTGAACTGCAAATTCTCTATAGATTTTAAACCAGTGCATCATAGTGTGCTTCGTTTCCCAGATTCCCTCACCCTCGTTGTTCCTCTGTCTTATTGTTTTGTCATCAGATTCATGAATATATCTGCCTGGCACCCAAAAGAAGAAGCATACGACACCCAGTACCTTCAGAAATGAGAGTTTTAGTGTGTGAAACCATTTCCTCCGGCAGAAAATATCACGAAATCTATTATATTTTAGCTGCTTCCTCTAGCAACAATGGATAGTGGATGGTGGCACAACGGCACAGAAAGGAAAACAAACGTCGAAAATTTCGAAGCCAGCAATATCCAGCACACCAATGAAGTATTTTCGATCTTCCTTCTTTTGGTCGAGGGTTTTGTTGCAGCGGTCGATGAGCCACTTGAACATGCGCGCATAGACCGCTTTTCCGAGACCGGCCACTGCCCAGTGCACCTGTAAAACATTTGTAAGGAGACAATTGCTGGATGTGCTATTAACATTTTTTTTTCCATTTTGAACTAAAACCAGGCCTTATGAGTTTAAATTATCCATCGTTCCAGTGGCACATACATTCTTTCATGATTAGATTCGGCCTGTGTGAACAGGTCAAATAAAATCCTTACATCGCAGCACTATCTACGAGTATATTTCAGTGCCAGTCTTACAAGATACTTAAGCCTTCTTATTTGCATTCCTGGTCCAAAAAACCCTACATTCTGTTGAAAAAAAGAGCAGCTCCTTTGTCAGAGGCTTTGCAGAGTGCGATAGAACGGCATAATGTAGAAGTCATCGACCAGCAGGCTTACGCCTGACTAATTATAAACTAGCCTGCTCTAAGTTCTGTCCCTTGTTAACCCATTCGGTGCCAACCCGGACGCGTGGCTTCGTAAGCGCTTTTAAGAACTCTTCGTGATCGACGCCAAAGCAGAAGCCAGCGTTCTTTGCATCTGAAATGTTTTGATAGTAATAAACAAATTGTAAATTGTGAATCTCTTGGTTGATTTAAGGAAGGCTTGTCAATTAACAGTAAGTTAACATAAAACAACACAGGATGAAACGCACCAGGCTTGCCGGTGCGATCATGCGTTTTTGCATTAAACTCGCAGATCACTAATAGCAGGAATGATCTCTGCGCTTTAGCCTAACAATTGGGCTCACATTGGCCAGCGTTCTTTGCAAGCTTTGGCCTCTTCCGGCATGCAGCAGGAAGAGCGTCGGTTGAGATGAAAGTATTGTACTATAGGATAGCATGGACTTCAGGTACACGATTATCAGTTTTTATGCGTTTTTGCTGTGCAGCACTATAGTGCTGCTACAGCCAGCAAAAGCGCATATTGTCGAGGGGCTGTCTGTGTGTGTGTGTGTGTGTGT